CCAAAAGGCTACATGATGCTATTTTAGGTCGAAATAAATTGATAGTCGGGAGGTCCTCCGTGGATTCAACCACGAGAAAAAAAAAAAAAAAAAAATCTAGTGCCGAGAGAATACTTTTCTCCACCGCTCAGTAGCGTAGTAGACTGTGGGTGTTGGAAGAAAGATTTTCTTTGTTTTGATTCACTGTGCTGCTGATAGCGCCAGTGGCTTTCTGTTTCCCCAACTTGTACTTCTTAGCCTTCGTGCCATTGAAGTGTTGGTTCACTGTGCTGCTGATAGCGCCAGTGGCTTCCTTTATTCCCCATCCTGCACTTCTTAGCCTTCGTGCTGCTGAAGTGTTTACAAAATTCTTTGTTTCGCCTTCGGGCCGTAAGCTTGATGCTCCTCGTGAGCCCTGCTTCTCTCTGACATGCCCTCAATCTTAAAGGACATTTTGTCAGAATGGGAGGGGGGGTGTTTCTACACAGTCGAGCTCCTGGCTGAGGCCTACACGACCTTCCTATTGAACCTCGTGGAGTCCACAGCTGAGGAGAGGGCCGACCTGAGGGTTATCCCCTTCCTGTTGGTGGGGTACACTGCGTACTCCCGCTTCCAGAATGGTGACGACCCCCAGGCCGCCCTAACCTATCGCATGGCTTTGGCCATGTGTGGTGCCGGCTCGAACGCCCCTCCCCGCCCTACAACTCCCCCGGCGCGCTGCTCTACTCCACCCGTCCAGCCGCCACGGCCTGCAACACCACCGGCAGGCCCGTCAAGGGGTCTCTCGCCACAACCAGGGCGATCACGACCACGCTCCCCCTCTCCTCAACCTGGGCCATCCAAACGACCCAGGGAAGAGGATGATGAGGCAGAGGAGCAACCTACCTTGGAGGTGCTCCAAAGCCGCGAACGCCATCTCAGGCGTTTCAAGGCATCTTTCAAGGAGGAGGTCATGTTGGTCCGGGGTCTCGGAAACACCCTCCCCTCCGAGGCCCTTATGGAGGGCATGTTTGACACTGCATTGCAAAGACAGCGCGATGCCCTCCACGCCAAGGATGACGATCGAGCGATTGTAGAGATCAGAAATGGCGAACACGATGCGAACCCCATATGGTTCAGCATGAGACGTGTAGACCAAATCAATGGAAGGGTTATTTTGGACAAGGTCACCCGTGTATTGAATTCAAATCAGGAATTCATGGCCGATGGACAGTTAAGGATGTCCTACATACATGTCCCTACGCCACGAGCTGGTGGTCGCCGCACCAACATCGTAGCGAATGAATCTATGGCAGATTGGTTGGTGAGAAAGCAAAATCAAAAGTGTGTGTTGCCTCCAGATAATGTTGACAACATGTGTCTCACACGTAGCGTTGCTGTTGCTATGGCTAAACTTAGGGTCAGTAGATTTGCCTTTCGTCGGATGAAAAGTCCAGCATCAGATATTCAGACGGAGAAGGCTGAGTCTCTCTGCACCCAGGCAAATATAGACAAAACACAACGCTGTGGTATTGACGAGGTGCGCAAACTGCAAGATGCACTCCCTGACTTTAGGTTGTGCGTGTTCACTGACAAGGAGGGAAAAGAGTGCGTTTTCAAGGGTCCTTACGCTGTAGCTCGTAAAAACATCTACCTTCTTTGGCATGATGAACATTTCGCAGCCATTTTCTACCCCGAGTCGGCATTCGATTACAAATTCGTGTGCGAAAAATGTGTTGTCTTCTACAATAATGCGGGGGATCACAGATGTCCAGGGTCTTGTTGGCGATGTCTAGGCCCGGATGAACACACGGATGCTCTTAGGCGTTGTGACAGCTGCGGGCATCAATTTGCAGGGGATGAGTGCTTTGAAAATCACAAAACACACAAACTCCCTCACTCACAATTCACAAAGTGTGATGCCTTCAAATTCTGTAATGGTTGTAAAAGGAGCTATTCACGATTAAGAGGCGGGCCTCGTGTGTGTAATTTTGTGTATTGCAAATTCTGTAAGAACAACGTCCTGGAAAACCACCTCTGTTTCATGCAGAGATGGGAGGAAAAAGAAAAAACTGACAAATGGTCCTACCACACGGTGACGTATGACATCGAAACTTCCCAATGTGACCCAGTGGAGGGGCAGCCTGACACATTCGAGCACAAGCCGATACTCCTAGTGAGTCAAACTGTGTGTGACGCGTGCGCACACATACAGCAGAATGATTACTTTTGCACGCATTGTAAGACACGACAACACATTTTCCACTGTCTTGATGATCCTAACATTAATGTTATGGGGCAGTTCCTCGATTATCTGCAGTCGTTTCCTGCTAAATCAGCTTTACTGCTTGTTGCTCATAATGCAAAAGCGTTCGATGCAATTTTTGCACTTCAGGAAATGATTGCTCGTAAACGAAAAGTAGATCTCACGTTACAGGGGGCGAAAATAATAAGCATGAAGGTGAAAACATGGAAATTTATTGATTCTCTTATGTTTCTCCCCATGCCTCTGAGCTCGATGCCAAAGGCGTTCGGACTGAATGAGTTAAAGAAAGGTTACTGGCCTTATCTAGCCTGTAAACCTGAGTATTTTCATTATGAGGGACCTTTACTTGATAAGTCGTACTACTGTGTAACGACGATGAAGTCAAAAGCGGCAGTCGACTTTCATACATGGTATGATCAACAAATATCTGATGGGTATGTGTTCAACTTCAAAAAGGACCTTATAGATTACTGTACTTCTGATGTTACTATTTTGCGTCAGTCATATCATGCTTTCCGTAAGCTCTTCGAACAGTGTGCGGGCTTTGACCCTATGTTCCACTGTATCACTTTGAGCAGCGCATGCATGTCCGCCTATCGACGGAACTTTCTACCTCCCAATAAGATAGGACTTGTTCCTGACGGTGGTTATCATGGTAGAGGTAAACAAAGTCATGCTGCGCTCAGATGGCTAGATTTTGAGGCCCATAAACTAGGAATGGTTATCAAAACTGTACATACAGATAGGGAAGTTTCAATTATGGGACGCCGTGTTGACGGATATGTTGAAATCCCACACCCTGATGGTCGTATAGAGAAACGAGTGTACCAGTTTCACGGGTGTTACTGGCACCACTGCCCGCAACACTTCCCCACCTCAGATGACGACAAAGAGAACCGTCACGAACGTACACAAGCACTCACTGCTCTTTTTAGAGAACAAGGTTACAATGTAGTAGAAAAGTGGGAGTGTAAATTCAACGAAGAGTTGAAGACAGACCCCGAAACAATTGCATTTTTTGAGGCTCACCCCACAACAAGGTCACCTCCTCCTTTGCTTAGAGATGCTCTTGTTGGGGGACGTACCAGTGCGATGCGCTGGTACCATAAGGCAGACCTTGAGAAGGGCGAGCGAATCAACATGGCAGATGTTGTATCAGAGTACCCTAATGCAAACCTTCGAGGAAAGTACCCATACGGGCATCCCAAAATTTATCTGGAAGGTGACCCTGACATTCCTCCTGTTGAGGAGTGGAATGGCATGATCAAGTGTACGGTCCTCCCCCCACGTGATCTGTTTGTTCCAGTTCTCCCATACAAAGCTAGAGGCCGGCTGATGTTTCCTCTCTGTAGAACCTGTGTAGAGACGGGAAAAAAAGAATCCTGTCATCATAACGACGTGTGCCTGCAGCAGTGGCGTATCTGTGAAGAGGCGCGCAACACTGGCGGATCTGCGCCGGCCCGGCCAACACTGGCGGATCTGGGAAGGGACGGTCATCAGAGGCGTATCTGCGTTCGGCTGATCTGCTCAGCCAACTTCGGAGCCCTATTGCTCCTCGTAGGCATGTCGTACAGTATTGACTGATGTCTCATTGCAATGTTTATATCCTCGTGATTGAGTTTTGATATCACTCAATACTATACGACATACCTACGATGAGCAATAGGCCTCCAAAGTTGACTGTGCATATCAGACGAACGCAGATACGCCTGTGATGACCGTCCCTTCCCAGATCCGCCAGTGTTGGCCGGGCCGGCGCAGATCCGCCAGTGATGCGCGCCTCTTCAGAGATACGCCACTTCTGCAGGCACACGTCGATAATGACCCTAGTGATAGACAACTAACAAGCTCATGGTGTGCCCCAGAACTTTTACTTGCTCTGCAAGAAAAATCATATCAGCTTATCACTGTACATGAAGTCAACCAATACCCAGGCACAATGGTCTATAATCCTGATACTGGTGAGGATGGTCTCCTATCGGGCTATGTCCGATGCTTCATGGCATTGAAAATGCAGGCAAGTGGGTGGCCACCTGAATGTGATTCAGAGGAAAAAAAGGCTGAGTTTATAGAGGATATCCTTAAACATGATGGAGTCACACTCGACCCCACGAAAATGAAGAAGGATATGGCTCTTAGGACTCTCAGCAAGCTAATATGTAACAGCTTCTGGGGTAAGTTTGGAGAGAAAACTCTGAGACCTAAAACGGTCTTGATATTTGACTATGCTCACTTGATGCCACTTATAACAGACACTAGGAAGGAGATAACATCACTTGTCGCTCTGAGCGAAGAATGTCTTCAAGTGACGTGGAAACCGGCAGAGGATACAGAGGAGACGCTTCCGACCTCTTCACTCCTACATGCTGCGTTTACCACATGTTTTGGAAGACTACAATTGTACAAATACTTGGATATAGTTAAGGAACGTGCCCTTTACTGTGATACCGATTCGGTGGCCTATATAAGCCGCCCCGGTGAACCTGACCTCCCCACCGGTAGTCACCTGGGTGACCTGACCGATCAGGTCGAGGAGGATTACGGCCCGGGGTCGTATATCATTGAGTTCGCGGCTGGGGGGCCTAAAAACTATGCGTACAAGGTGGCTGTGGGGGGCGATGTAGCGAACATCAAGGTGTGTATCAAGGTGAGGGGTATCACCATAAACAGGTCCTGTGATGATCTCATCACTTTTGAGAACCTCAAAGCTATGGTGATGGGGGAGCAAGACAAGATGGTAGTGCCCATTCCGCGCCAGATTGCCCGGTTACCGACTTGGAGAATTGTGACTCGCCCCACGTCAAAAAGGTGGCAAGCCGTGAACACCAAGCGGCGCAGAGTTGGCGTAGAACACACTGTCCCACACGGTTACAATGCGTGGACTATGGCTCCTGAGGAGGACCAAGGCCTCCTTGAGGTCATGGACCTCCTTGGCGACGCCTAAGTCATTTTAATTGCGCAGGGGAGAGGCAGACAGGCCCCACTAGCGCAGGGGAGGTGCAAGCAGGCCCCACCGGCGCAGGGGAGGAGCTGGTTAGGCCCCTATAAAAGAAACACCCACACTAAGTCGACCATCAGTCTGGATCTCAGGTTCCAACATCCCTGCACCGCCCTCGTGGTAGGTGGAACGGGAAGCGGGAAAACTTATTTCATGAAACGTCTGATTGAAAATAGAGATGAGATGTTCAATACAACATTTGAACAAATCATTTTTTATTACTCTGAATGGCAGCCTCTTTACGGCGAACTAAAAGACAAAGTCGATTTCCGACAGGAACTTCCTATGCTGGAAGACCACCCCTCGGGGGAAGGCCCAAAGCTTGTTGTCATTGATGATTTTATGGATGAGATTAAGTCACACCATAAAGAAATCCTAAAATTTTTCATTAAGGGTTCTCATCACAGAAACCTAAGTATTTATTTTCTGAGTCAATGTTTATTTCCTGATGGCCTTCGCCAGATAAGTTTGAACACACACTATATTGTTCTGTTTAAAACAAGCCGTGACTTGGCACAGATACGCACATTCTGCATGCAGGTCGATCCTTCCCATTTTCGTGCCTTGCTAGAAGCTTATCACGACGCCACAAAGGCCGGGTTCACGTACATTCTATTCGATTTCAAACCAAATCAGGCTGATCACTTGCGCACACGCACTCTCATTTTCCCTGGTGAGTCCACGGTCGTTTACATCCCGAAAGGGAAGTATAAAAGGGAGGCATTAGCACTAGTCTGAATCATTCGTTGACAATGGCTCCTGCCGTAAACACCCATAATAAGGCGTTGCTTAAGGTTCTGCAGTCAGCTAAACCTAATCTCCGTAAAGC